GCACACTCACTCCTGGCTATACTTGGTGGTATGAGGTCCCCATGTCTCTCTGCTAGCTTCTCTCTTCTATATCTCAAAAGAGATTGGTTTAAGATAAAATCTAATCTTGTAGATTGAGTCCTACCTCATTAATAAAACTGCCACTAATCTCATCTCATTAACATCATAGAGAAAGGATTTACAACACATAGGGAAATCACATCAGATGACAAAATGGTAGACAATCACACAATACTGGGAATCATGGCCTAGCCAAGTTGACAGATATTTTGGGGGGACAAAATTCAATCCATGACAGGGGCATAGAGAAAGTGTCTTGGCCAGAGAATATAAAGACAGAAGGACTTCTTTTACAGCCTAAAAAAGATTCTCTGCCCTTCAAGCCCCTGGAGCTGGGGATAATATAAAGTTACCAGGGAGAACCATGAGTCCCAGGCAGAGGGGACCTGTGTCTTGCTTCTGGCAACATCCTTGGGTAGACAGCAAAGCATGAGAGAACAGGGGCTGTTTTAGGCAGCCTTAACAAAAATTTCCAGTCACAGGCAGGGTCCCAAAGCAACAAGGACCTGCCAGACCATATGGAACATCCATCAGCAGAAGCAACGGACCTCTGACTGCTAACCTGTGTAACCTGATGACCAAAGATTTAATGGACATCTGCTCCCATGCCTCAGCACTGTGTGATAGCCCAGAACCGTGGCATGAGCCTGGGGCAGAGGAACTTCAAGAAGAACTGAAGTTAAATTATTTCATCAGCCCCATGAAATGGGGACCTTGGAGTCCAAAGTTAAATGGAATTATAGACAATAAAGAAAGATATGACAGAATGATTAAGAGCATGGACATGAACTAAACCAACTGGGTTCAAATTCTAGCTCCGCCACCTACTTACTGTGTTATCCTTGGCAAGTTATTTAACCTCTTTGTGCTGATCTATTCATTTGAAAAATGGTGTTAATGACACTTACCTATAGGATTCAATGGATTTGTATAAAGCACATAGTAAATGATATTTAATTATTATCTATTATTATTAACCTTTGTGGGTAGACTAACCTTCCTATCTGCTAAATGAGGGATTTGGAGAACACCAGTAATCTGTGACAAGACTGTTTTTAAGAACTTAACGTTTGGGACAGATACAGAAAGGTCAGTGGAGGGAAGGAAGGGAAGGAGAGAGGAAGGAAGGGCAGGCAGGCAATGCAGTTTTGTTAGCATAGGAGACTGAATTCTCTGATTCCCAGAATATCCTATGTTAGACTGTACATTTCTAAAAGAACTGATCTTCTTTTAGAGAGGGAAGGGCAGTTCCAGTAACCCCAACTTAGGCTTTGCAGCCAGGGCATTTGGGGAGTTAAAAGCTCGGACACTTTACAAGTTTTAGGGAGTGATGTAGGTTTACTCTTTTTCAGGGTCTCCAAGAGTAAGTTGCCAAGGCAACTGTCTTAGTTATCTAGTGCTGCTATAACAGAAATACCATAAGTGGATGGCTTTAAAAAACAGAAGTTTATTCTCTCATATTTTAGGAGGCTAGAAGTCCAAATTCAGGGTGCCAGCTCAGGCGAAGGCTTTGTCTCTCTGTTAGCTCTGGGGGAAGGTCCTTGTCATCAGTCTTCCCCTGGTTAGGAGCTTCTCAGTTCAGGGACACTGAGTCCAAAGGATGCACGCTCCCGGCTCTTCTTGCTTGGTAGTAATGAGGTCTCTCTCCTCTCTGCTCACTTCTCTCTTTTATATCTCAAAGAGATTGACTCAAGATAAATCTTATCCTGTAGATTGAGTTCTGCCTCATTAACGTAACTGCTTCTGATCCTGCCTTATTAATATAGAGGTTAGGATTTACAACACATAGGATAATCACATCAGATCACCAAATGGTGGACAACCACACAATACTGGGAATCATGGTCTAGCCAAGTTGACATATATTTTCGGGGGACACAATTCAATCCATAACAGCAACTGATGAATTTGCCCCCTGATGTATGGCCTGGGGCACATGTAGAAAGACTGTGTCTAGGAAGAGGAAACCAGAATCTATAACAAGGCTAGAGAAATAGCATTGTCCAGTCTGAAAGGTGGAGTGTTTTTAAGTCAGTCACTAAGCCATAGACAACTGTTCACTTCTGCGGTAGGTGATGCCTATTATAGGCTTGTCCTTACTCTGGGGATACTTGTACTGGGAGGAATGAGAGCCTCCTGGGAAGACATTAACAACTCCCAGATGATCCAGGTGAGAAATTCCCCCAGGGACAAGGCTTGCCAGGAGAAAAAAATCGCCATTCATGCAGGCCCTGGGAGTTATTGTCTTGAGTAGGGAGTACCTGGATAAGAAGTAAATTTTCTTCTCTGGGATGCTAAGATTTACTAGAGGGAGAATATGGCTGCAATGTTAATTTGAGATATAAATGGATGCTTTTTCTTTCCTGTATTTTTCTCTTTTCTCTCTGCTCCCTCCCAAACTAGTCAATTTTGCAAAGTATCTCAGGAGACAGAGGTGGGAAGGTAGGAAAACAAATACTCTGCCAGTCTCTCTGGCTTTTATGTTCCGAAAGCCTAAGCCCTTGGGGAAGGGAGATTAAGGTGCAGGGCAGAGATAAATATCTGGTCCAGAAAACTAGAAGGAAGAAAGACTTGCACAAGCCAAAATAAGGATTCTTCTCTTCCTCATTGCCCCGTCCTTGGGGAGAAGAGATGACAAGAGCAGAGAGAGCTCTGTGGGGGAGCTCAAGCAAGCAGCACGGAATGGGCTAAGCATCCCAGAAGCAACACCTGATTGGCAACAAGACTCAAGAGAGGAAAGGCTGTGCAAAATGTCTAGGTAGATGGACCAATAGGAGATCTCAGCAAAGAATTATTTGTCCCAAGTGTGGCAGAGATGCTGGAGAGGACCACAGCATCTGAAAGGACTCATGTGGGCAGAGAGCTCAGAAGTAACCGACAGGATCTAAGGACCTGGTAGCAGATACCCTTATTTCATCTCCATGCCACCCCTATGCTGGGCAGTACATAAGGTTGCTAAACTGTGGCATCAGCCGGGTTAAGGGAAATGAATTTTAAGAATGACCGATATTGTTTTCCCAATAACCTGGTAAAGGAGGAGGGCTCAGAAGTCAGAATTTGAGTTTTAGAAACAGTCATAACACTACCCATGGCTGCAGTAGTCAGCTAACTGTAAACCTGGAGGCTCGTCTGGGCCTCATCTTGTTGACTGAAGAAGTTAGCATCCTGTGTGGTAGGTAGGAAACCAAATGCTAGTAGGGTTGTGAAACTACCACCCCCCCCTCTTACCCATGTGATGTTGAAGTTTAAAAATGGTTCCAGTGAAGGTTTTGGTAATTTCTTGGCACCAGAGCCTCGAGATGAACTAGATTATTGGAAGGATGCTTTCTTGGAATAATGTAAAGTCAAATTATAAGTGGGTATAAGTCAACTTTGCTGTTTCATAAATAGAAACATCACAAATGCCACCTGAAAGACAGTGGAAAAACAGAGGATAAGAAGGGAACGTTCCCTACCATACATAGGTGACTAACTATAAGTGCTCACTCCCCTTTCTGCCTATAGTGGCATTCGTTTTGAGTTATGGACTAGGTTGTTCCAAACAGAAGAGCATGTATGTCAATAAAAGTTCTAAAATTGAGAAGGGCCTGTACTTGGATAGGAAGCAGACTTGTTTGATTTTCTAGTTTCTGAAGTTTGTAAAAGTCACACTATTTTATGGTTATTCAACAAATATTTGACTAAGAGGGACTGTTCAGAAGTGTTCATATCTGCTCCCATCTGAGCAAGCTGAAGGGCTAACATTTCCAAACCTAGTTCTATATTGATTGTATCAACAGGCTCAGAGGCAAAAGAAGAGGGGCAGGCCATAACCGAAGGAGAGTTCCTGTTACTTTTTGTTAAAGATGGATGGATGTGTATGGTGGTGGGAGTAGGGCAACATTCAGAAATAAACATCGTGGGCACAGTGGGAGTCAGGTACTACAAAGACTACAAAGACTTGGAATAACTTTGTAACCTTTGAAGCGGCCCACCCCTTGGTGGTTATTTGGCTGTTTGGCCTCTATTTTCCCACAGTAGTCAGCAATTCAACAGGGAGAAGTATTATCTTCAGAGGCACTGAGGAAAGAAAGAGAGTGGGAGATTCTATCCATTCTACAGCTAATTAGGAATGCAGAAACTTTTAAAGTATAGTGGTGGCACTACTTGGAGACCGTACCTTGCTCTTCCAAATTTGGCAAGTGAGGAAGATTTCCACAGCCCTGAGTCTTGTTCCCTCGTAATCTCCCTCCATTGTCAAAATTGGAAGATAGGAGTTTGAATTTATTAAGGGCATAGTCTGGTTTCCTTTTATGTTCGGGCAATACTGGGATTAATAAGTGACCTTTAATAAGAAAGGGACAGAGACAAGAGACAGGACTACAAGGTTTCCCACCATTCCACTCCATTGACTTTGGAAATCTCAGTGTTAAATTTATTGATAGTGCCATTTTTAAAGAGCTGAAAAAGGCTGAGGTTCTGAGGCCTCCAGCAGGAAAAGAAAAAAAAAAGGGGAGAGGAAGAGGTTGGCGTAGCAGCTTAAAATATTAGTTCTGCCTTTTTTCCACACAGTCTCCTACCCTCAAGGCATAATGCTAAGGCCTGAGGGGCATGCAGAAAGAAATCCCACCCTTTAGGAGCTTTCATTAAGGGGCTGTTGGCACCAAATACAGCCTGAAAGTGGGGGGGAAGGAATGGAAAATGCATGTGCTCTGGAGTGAGGCACACCTGGGTTCAAGTTCTGGCTCCTCCACACATACTTTTGTGAACTTGAGCAAGTCATTTTTCCTTCCTGAGCCTCAATTTTCTCCTATGTGGACTGGGATGGTTGATGTGAGAATGACAGAAAAAATTTTGTACTGTGCCTGACACAGTACAGGAAGCAGTTTTTAAAAAAAGCTGCTGCGCCAAGGTAACATGTAGTGAAAGCTCGAAGGAGGCAGTATTCACTACCATTTGGAGTACTCGAGAGCTTTTGCAGGAAGTTGGACGTTCAGAGACGGTAAGAGCCAAGGATCACTGGGAGGTGGACTTTCCGCAGGCGCGCAGTCTAGGAGCCAGGAGCAGCAGCGAGAGGGAGGGGCTACGTTTCCAAAGGGGTGGCTACGGCACTGAGGGGCCAGGGAAGTTAACTGAACTCTTAAAACATTACTCCCTCCCCCAACCGCCACCGCCTGGGCCGAGGGCTATTGTTCCCAGCAAAATGACGCTGGTAGTTCTACTTTGTCACATAGGGTCGCTATGAGTCAAAATCGACTCAATGGCATCCAACAATAACAGCAATCCCCCTCCTGGCCGGAGGTCAAAGTAGGGCTGGGGGTTGGGAATGGGACTGGAGGCAGGGGCAAAAACTACAATTCCCAGGGTACACTGCACCCACCCGCGAAGCGCAGGGCACGTGCCCAGGCCTAGCGGTTACATGCCATCAAAAATCCGTTTCACAGCTTTGCTTTCCCATCCCCGCTTTTGTTGTGGCCCAGCAGCTGCGCACGCACTGCGGTCCTGGGGCTGGGGGTTGGGGGCACATGCCTTGGCCGTTGCGAAGGAAAAGTAACCAGGAGACCAGTATTTGTAAATCTCTGCTTCGACTTCTAATCCCGAACCGGCAGGTATGGGTCTCGCGAGAAAATCCGGGAGTTGGAAAAAAAAAGTTAGGGGTGGCTGGCGAAAAGCTGCCAGCGGGTACCACATCCCAGCAGAGCTACCGCATTTAGAGGCATGCGAAGAGCTAAGAGTGGGCGGCGGATGGCTAGGAAGTAGTGTGTACGTGGACTTTTTTTTTTGGAGGGGAGACCTTCTGGACACACAGGAGGTGTTACCCGTGGTTCCTCGCTGATATTTTCTTTTTGGAAGGGGGAGAAGCCTGTCTCCTCAACGCGCATCCCTCTCTCCCGCTGCGTTGATGATGGCGGGGGAGGTGTGCGCTCCAGTTGGCTAGCCAAATGGCACCTCGCAGCGATAGGGGCTGTTCGGAGTTAGGGCTGCTCCGTTGGCTTCCTCCGCCCCTCCCCCTCTTTTTCCCTCCTCTATCTTCCCCGTCCCCCTCCGCCCCTCTCTCCTACTCATCTGAATTCCCTGGCTGGAGTACGCGTGCGCCTTCTCAGCTCCCGGGCGAGCGTGAGCTCGGGGCTCATACCCCGCTCCCCTAACCCCGCCCGCTCTTTACCTACTGGCCTTGGCTGGCTGGGTGGGCTCGCTGTGAGACGCTCACGTGCGCACGCGCACACGACGCGGAGCGGGGCTTGAGACATCTAGGAGGGGAGTAAGAAGCATCGGAGGAGGTGATTGAGGGGGAGGTGGTGTGTGTATGTGTTTTACAGCGTGGCTCGTGGTGGGGCGAGCAGAGGCTTGAAAGAGGGCGAAGGAGCAGCAGAGTCAATCTCCCTCTGCAAGAGCTTCTAATCTGGTGAGGGTCCCGGGCCGGCGAGGGCGCTGGGAGAGAGGGAGGAGGCCGGGGGGCGTGTCTGGGATCAGGCTGAGAGATGAATGGGCCTGAGATGAATGGAGGGAGGTGGCGGCGGCCAAGAGTCTGTTCCGAGTAAGAGCCCTAGTAGGAGGAGGCTTGACCCAGCCCGAGTGATCGCGGCCACCAAGCGGTAAGGAACGAGGCTGAGCTAGGGTCTTCGGTGTTGTCGGAGCTGGTGTATGAATGTGCGAACAGGCAGGGAGGCAAATTAAGAGGGGAAGGTGAGGAAGGGTAGGTTTGAGGTCGAGGTGCGTTTTTTGTTTTGTTTTCTTCTTTTTTTTTTTTTTGGTGGGGGGCAACATTGGGAGTTGATGGAAGACCAGTGAACAGAAAGGTGAGGAGGCTATAGGAGGGAGACCGGAGACGGTTGACAAAGGACCGAGTCATTTTTTAAGTGAGATTGAGGCTACTGAAAAGGAAAATCATTTCGGGTGTGGGAAGCTGAGGAAGGTTTCAGTGGGTTGTATCGATGGGAATGGAGTGGGGGAAAGAAGGGATTTAATTAGAGGTTGAGTTGATGTATGGGGGTCGATAGGTTAGGTTCAAGGAGATTGAGAGGTGTTACTTGGGAATGGGTGATACGTTCTGTGACTGACAGGTTGGGAATGGAGAGGAGATGGTATGAGGGGGTTAGGATAAAAGTGGTGGGGTGGCTTCACTGTACTGACAGGTTTTGTTTGACTAGTTAAGAGTGGTGAAACATTTATGTAGTGGGTGGAAATCCATGCACGTGTGTATCACCATATCTTGGGAGTTGATAGACCTTGTTAAAATGAAACTGAACGATGTTAGTGATATGGATATTACTTTTTAAGAGTTGGTTAAGGCAATTATATGAATACGTAGCATTTGAGTTGTGAAAAATCTTGCATCCAATTTTGGAAGGTATGGTTACCTTTTTTTCATCTATAGTAAGTTGTAATACCAAGAAACAATTGAAGAGGTATCAGTATACGACACAGAACACCAGGTGTGTTTTAGTCTCTATCCTTTGGACTGATGAGTTTAAAATTTGTTTAATGCAAGGTATCTTTCCTTTGGACTGTTGAGTTTAAAGGACATCTAAAATGCACTAAAGCTGATTTTGAATGCTAAAATAATTATACATGATTTTTTTTTGTCATCCTGAATTTACTTTGTTTGAGAACTGGCACCTGATTTTGGTGAGAGTTTAAATTACACCAGATTACTTGGACATTTTGTTCTCTGAATACATTACTTCTGATAAAGAGGTCTTGTGATGGTCTCATTCTGTTCTGTGTCAAGATTAATAACTTTTCATGATTATTTTTACTAACTTTACTGATATATATTGAATTATCTTGGAAATGTTGCAAATTTGAGAGCATTCCCATGCCATTTTGCTTTTAATTTGCTTTGATGTTGGAAAGAGTGTAATCCCTGTTTTGGCTACCCAGTTTGAATTTAAGTGTTAATAAAGCTCTGTTCATAGTCTCTCAGGTTGAGATGAATATGTAGTGGTAGAATAGCAATATAAAGGCACTATGAGAGCCTGGAAATGTTGCACCAACTCTGCCTGGCAAGGTGGTCTCCCAGTTTTGAACTAGATGTTCCTGGAGTGAAAGGGTATTCAAGGTATTGAGGCTTGAAAGTATAAGCATGGTGTATCTGGGGAGTGGAATGAGATAAAACTGTAATCTTAGGTTGAGGCTGGGATGAAGGACTACTTTAAAGAGTTAGGAGTCCTAGATTGTTTTTAAGAAGGGGAGTAACATAAGCAGATTTATTGTGTTCATCTCTCTTCCTTTGCTTCTGATGCCCTTCTCAGCCTGGAATGTCCTTTTTCCCCTTCCTTTCAATTTGAACTCATCCTTTAAGACTTGTATTATCAGCTATTCCTGGAAGCCTTTCTTCTTTTCCTAGCACCCTCCACCAAACTAGGTTAGGTACCCCTCCTTAGAATTTCCATCACACCTTGTCATATTTTTATTACATTTCTGTTGGAGGCAGGCAGGAAAGGTATTTTCCTCCTTTTACTTGAGAGACAGAATGAAGCTCAGAAAAATAAGACTTGAACTAGTAATTGAGTGGTAGATCCCGGACTTCTGACCTCCAGACCAATGTTGATTCTCATATCACAAGTCTGTGTTGGTGGTTGTAATTATTCTGTATTGTTTCTGGAGTTAAATTCTGTAATGCTGATTTAACTTTCTTCCATAAAATAGAGTTTCTGTTTTCACTAAGTTCGCTATTGTTTAGCCAGTAAATGATAATGCTGATGGCTGCAAAGTACCAGAATAGTCAGAAGAAATGAGAACTCTTATGTTACTATCAGATTTCTAGTCCGATAATTCAATTAAAAAATAATTAGTGGATGGCTTCTGTTTTTTGTGTATGTTTGTGTGTGGGAGAGTAGGATGGGGAAATTGTATGTAAGAAAGAATCCTTCCTTTCTCAGTCTCTCATCTTAGTATAAGTAGACCAGCTCTATTTGTAGATATGCTTGATTACTTCTTTTTGGCTAAAAGCAAGAATTCTTTCAAAGGGATGGGTCTTCTCCATTTTTGTTTAAGATCATAAAATTTATGGCACTGTTAGGAGATACTTGATGACTGCAAAGGACATCTGTAAAGCATTCATTCAGACATTCCCAAAGCTTCAAAAGTAGAAGTTGATGCCATTTTTGGTAGAGCTTGTCATGAGAGTTTGGTTTGGTAAATGTTGAGGAGCTTGACTTACCTGCAGAAGTGAGCCTTTAATGCCCTTTCTTTCAGGAATATAGTTTTTTATGAACTTATTTTTTTAAGTCATTGTTATTCTTTGTATTATTTAAAAATTTTAGGGATAATTTGGGTAGGATTTTTTACCTCATAATTTCTAGCATTAATCTTTCTTATAATTAAATCAAAAATACAGTCTACACTGGAAAGAAAATCATTAATGCAAGCAAGAAAACATATTTTACTTGCATTAAAGTATGCAAAGTTGAGTAAGGTTTAAGATGCATAACTTAGACAGTAGTTTAGATCCAACCACTGGGAATACAGAGCCTTTTTAAAATTAAAATTTTTTTTTATTGTGGTAGAATGTATATAACAAAACATTTGCCATTCTAACCATTTTTATGTGTAAAATTCAATGACATTAATTACATTCAACATGTGCAACTATCACCACTATCCGTTTCCAAACTTTTTCGTTACCCCAAACAGAAACTTAGTGCTCCTTAAGCAATAACTCCCCCCCCCCCACCTACCCCTGGTAACCACTAATAGACTTTGGTTTCTATACATTTGCGTATTCTAGATATTTCATACAGGTGGGATCGTATAATATTTGCCCTTTTGTGACTGATTTATTTCACTCAGCATAATACTTTCAAGGTTCATCCATGTAGCATATATCAGAACTTCGTTTCTCCTTATGGCTGATTATATATATATATATATATATACACATACATATGTATCTCCATACATCTGTTGATTTACACTTGGGTTGTTTTTATGTTTTGGCTACTGTGAATAGTGCTGCTATGAACATTCATGTACAAATTTCTGTTTGCCTTCCTGCTTTCAATTCTTTTGGGTATATTCCTAGGAGTGGGATTGCTGGGTCATATGGTAGTTCTGTGTTTAACTTTTTGAGGAACTGCCAAACTATTTTCCATAGCAGCTATACAATTTTGCATTCCCACCACAGCAATGGGCTAAGGTTCCAGTTTTTCCACATTCTCGCCAACACTTGTTATTTTCCATTTTTTAAAATCATAGCCATTGTGGAGGTGGAGGTGAAGTGGTATCTCATTGTGGTTTTGATTTGCATCCCCCTAATGACTAATGGGAGTCCTTGGGTGGCAAAAGTTTGGTGGTTCAAACTTGAGGCACCTTGGAAGAAAGGCCTGGCAGTCTGCTTCCTAAAAGTCACAGTGTTAAAAACCCTGTGGAGTCACCATGAGTTGGAATCAGCTTGACGGCAACTAGTTTGGTTTTTTGGAATGGCTAATGACATTGAGCATCTTTTCATGTGGTTGCTAGACATTTGTATATCTTCCTTGGAGAAAAGTCTATTCAGGTCCTATGCTCATTTTTTAATTAGGTGCTTTGTCTTTTTATGTTGTTGAGTTGTAAGAGTTCTTTGTATATTCTGGATACTAGATTCTTATCAGGTAGATGATTTGCAAATATTTTCCCTCATTCTGTGGGTTCTTTTCACTTTCTTGATAATTTCCTTTGATGCACGAATGTTTTTAATTTTAATAAAGTCCAGTTTATATTTTCTTTTGTTGCTTGTGCTTTTGGTGTCTTATCTAAGTATCCATTGCCAAATCTAAGGTCATGAAGATTTACTCTGTGTTTCTTGTAAGAGTTTTATAGTTTTAGCTCTAGTATTAGGTCTTTGATCCATTTTGAGTTGATATTTGTGTGTGGTATGAGGTAAGGGTCCACCTCCATTTTTTGCATGTGGATTAACTTGAAGTTTTAAAACTATGAAATACATAATATTACAATACTATAAGTGTATATTAGTTAAATGAAGCTATTTTGTGGCAATATCCAATTACTCTTTGGGCAGTTGTGGAGGAGAAATGTTCATTATATTTGAAGTATGGAGATATTCTAAATCTCTTCATGAGTTAGTGAGATTTTATGATCAGAAAACTTCAGTATGGCAAACTGGATAATCCTTATGCTAAAGTTATATAAGTGATTTCTTAATAAAGAAAATTATTTTTGTTTTCAAATTGTTTATGTAGGTAAAACCTTTGCTTAAAAATAGGAAAAACAGATTTAGTTTATAATTATCTTTTTATTGTGGTAAATATATATAAGAAAAATTTCCATTTTAACCATTTTTAAGTGTACAATTCAATGACATTAAGTACATTCACTACATTGCGGAACCATCACCATTATCCACCTCCCACACCCCTTCATCACTCCAAATAGAAACTCAGTACCATTAAGCAATAACTTCCC